TGATGGAGAATGTCATTGCGATTAGCGGAAGCTTCGGGAAATATAATAAAAGAAATCACGCAGATTCACGGGGAGATATAATTCAAGATTAACGCGGGGGGATAACGAATGGCATAAATCTACTCATGGGTCACTGTACGAGAGGCGATCTTTTTCGCACCGTGAGAAGATCCCCCGTTCGAACTTAAGCATAATCATACGCGCGAGATGCGCTCGGATAAACGTTCTCGTCTATTATTAAAAGAATAAAGACCGTTGAAATAGCCTGTACTGTTATTTCTTGACAAAAGTGACATTTAGCCTCAACATTTTTAGTAATCGGAAAAAACGCATTTTGCTGCATTTGAGATAAATTGCATCTATTACAATTTCTTCCTTTTTCTGAAATAGACGAAGAAGTTAGAAAATAAGAAATCAAATCAATTCATTTAGCATATATTAAAAACATAATAAAATAATTAAAATTATATAAAGGCAGAAAATAATCATTAATATAAAAATTAAATTAATTAAAGACATTTAATTCCAACTCTTATATTGTCCAATTTTGTTCTTTTTTACATATCACAGAGGACAATATATAATTTATAACATCATGTGCAATCTGCAAAACTGTTTTGAAAGAGTAAATATGATTCTAAAATATATTAGAATAGCGTTCGCAAAAAAAAGAAGAAAAGAAAAAGATTAAAACTTTAAGACTCTTAAGTTCACGACTGGAAACTACGTTGTGAATTGTAGATAAAAAATAAAAAAGTACAGTGTGAAATCTCGCGTACTGCAACTGTGAACATTTCGGACCGAGCTAATCGACCGACGTCGGTTCCATCGGCGCTTGGCGACAGTAGTTTCTCCGGCTTTGAGACGTAATAGGATCGCGCTCGGCTATTACCACCGGACCACATCGTCGCGTTATCCTGCCATAGGATACCGCGCGCCGTAAATCCACGGTCCACGATAATCCCACGAGCGAGGACTCGAGTCGAGACCAGCCGATTGGCCGGCCGGGAGAGGAGAATCCGAGAGAAGAAATCGAGGAAAAAGCGTCTCATCCACAGGCGAGAAGTGTCGCGCCGGGAGATCGCGCTTATCTCGTACGACGTCCTCGAAAACAGATGTACACTTGGAACTTACGATACACTGAATCTCAGCGCGGAGGGTTTAACGCGGCGAAACGGATTGGCCGAGAAATTGTCAGGGAGACCTGGAAACTTCCCGGTCGCGCGCGGCGCCGGCAAATGGCCTTTAGATGACTTTAGATGAATTGAAGAAAAACGAGGAATGAAATAAGAACGAGTATGACAAATGTATAAATCCATCCGTATAAATTCATTTAACTCTTATATATAGGATAACAAACTAAGGAAGAGTTATGTTACTAAAATATATTTTAATGTGTTATTTTTATTTATAACAAAAATATAAAAAATATAAATGTAGGAAATATTAAATATTAAATATTTTTAAATTGTTATTAATCTGACGCTATAAATAGTTAAGTATATTATTACTACTTTCCTACTCATAGATATTCATATTATAAGAATAATATATAGTCAATAGAAAAATGTTTTATAATTTTCTAAACAAGAACGAGGAAAAGATAATTTAATTACACTCACTGATAGAAGAGGGATTAATAATAATAAAGAAAAAATAAGCTCGCTGTTCAAGAAAGTAAACTTAAGAATGAAACCTTGATATATTAAAAATAATTATTAGCTTATTAATAATCAAAGAACATAATGTAAACCCTGATGTACAAAGAAAGTACACAATTAAAGTGCGATCGCCGCCTCTCGAGAGGACGCAACAGGACGCGCGCGATTCGCCTCTTCTTTTCTTCTTCTTCTTAATGAAGAGTCGTCGATTTCTCGCGAATTCGTTCCATGTACCCCGCAAGACAGAACTGACGAGTCAAAGGCTTCGAGACCTTCGACCCCTCGGGAGGCCCGTAGTCACGGTACACCGCGGTCCTTGATACGTGGTCCTTGAAGGGATACGCTGTCCCCCCTGGCGATGCAACGCGAGGTCGATGTTTCCCT